TTCCATTCAAATGGAAAAACTACTACTACAGACGCACGCCAGTCTAAAACATAATTAATGCCAAGAGCATGTAGACGCAGCTCATGTAGGCTATTACGACAAGACATATGAGGTCTGTAGTGCGCCCCCTAAATTGGACTGGGAATATAAAATTTACCGGATTATTATTCTGATGTGAAAATTCCCACCCAGCCACACATGTAACGTCTAAGATGAAGTGTTTACACTTACATAAGTATATAAATTGATGTGCTACCTCATTTACTCAGCTCACACTCTCTACACAGTAAAGTCACTGACCGGGGCACTTCTTCTCGTTGCAGGAGCGAACCTCCTCTCCTGAGCCATCACAGGGGTAGCCCTGTGCACCGGTGCCCTCACACATCCTGAAACGACGCTGCCAACCCGAGTCACATGTCTTGCTGCAGAGACTCCAGTGGTTCCAGCTGCCCCAGTTACCTCCACCTAGCAGACAAACACACCGAGGTAGGGAAGGAAGAGTGGGTTGGAACAACAGCAGCGTGAGGTGTTGAGGGAAACAGAAATTTATCTTGCAAGTCTGAGGCAGCTGCTGCTAAACCTTGTCTATTTTTTAGAGCAGATACGGAATTAAGGCAGTACGATCCCCCTCTGGTACCCAGGTTCATTAAAACACACTAGTATTCTTATCCTCCAGGGCCCCAGACGACACAGACTTGCAAGTCAAATTGGGTCCCAACCCACAAATTGCAAGAACACAAAAGGCAAATCACAAAAGACCATGAAGATGCCTTTAGATAATGCATGTTCCATGTTTATATAATGAAATTTGAGAGCATGTGAGTGGGAATACTAAGCATTAATTTGTAAGCCTTACCACCACATGAAGGGTTGACGCAGTCTCTACTCTCCTGATGGGGGCCCTTACATTCAGCCCAGCCGTGCACCGACGAGCTGCAGCGTCTCTGCCTCTCCTGGGTTCCCGTGTTACACGTCACGCTGCACCTGGACCACGGCGCCCAGTCCAACCACTGGCCCTCCACTGGACACAGGTAGAGAAGTGGAGGCAGATAAAGAGAGACAGAAAGGATGAGGTCAGAATGAAGAAGATTTTGAGAGACACAGAGTAATCAGGAGAGATTGATCCAGATTTTGGAAGAAAAAGGAAGGAGGAAGTGGGTGCAGAGGAACGAAAAGAGACACGGCAGAGAAAGTGAGGCGGCTACAAGAAAACAAAATGAGTTAAGATGCAGATCAAATTAACTGCAGGGGCTATTTGGTTTTCCATAAATAGCAACAAACAAACAAGCATAACACACTTTATGGGTCCGTGGACATTTTAAATATTTCAATCTGTTGTGAAACAGCTGATTACAATTCCTTTCATGCTTTGTTTTAAAGAGTTCATACAGAGTACAATCAGTTGGATTTTCATTCACAGTGGTATTATAAAGAACCCACATTTCAACTCTTGACTGGTATGCATGCAGAATTAATTGAAAAAAATACATTAATTATTTATATATATTATTTTAAATAATGCTTAACCGCCTGTCAGACAAGGCATGAATACCAAACAGCTTAACTTAAGCCTCATAACATGCACTGGTGTAAGACCCCACTGTCTCCCAGATTCAACAGAACAAATGCAGTGAGATAAATCAATGATAGTCTGTTCAGTCAAATATTTTTTACCTTTAAAGTTAGTGAATGTTTGGACAGTTTTGAGATTCTGTGCCACATAAAAGAACAAAAGGTTGTAGTGGAAATGCAGGTGGAGATCTGTGATGAATAAAATATTCATGCATACTGAGTTCGATTTTTGATCAAAAATATTAGTAATAAAAACATGAAAGCAGTTTTTTTTACCCATATATGGTATATTTCAGATTATTGCAGTATTAAATGACTCTATTTTATGTTGCTGAAATTGTTAGTTTTGACCATGGACCATGTGTAAAGATGGACAACTGACTGTTCACATAAATGCTGTCTCCTCCATGTTAGTGGATGGGACATGGACCAAATTAAATTTTTTAGATGGTTCGTATCACATTGACATATGTTCAAGTATTCATTTTTCTGGAAAGTTTGGTTTAATAGTTATTTGATGCAATAAAAACCAAGTGAACATCGCGATTGGTCCAAGTGGAGACTGTGTTCATCTTTAACAGTCTATGGTCTTGACTACATTTTCATATAAACCTACTCTGCTTATAAAAGTGCACTTGTATCCTGGACAACAAAAGCTTGGTATTGCATCTGTTTTACTACTGACCGGCTGTATTATTGCTACAGTTGTAGGTCTCGAGGGGATGATATTTAAAATCCCACCTGTCGCAGCCGTAAAGTTGACAGAGCAATGTTTTGTATTATAACACTGTCACACCAGCTGTGGTTTTTGGTGTACACATTAATTACCTGCACTGAATAGTTGTAGTAGTAGTCACACAAACACATGTTTAGCTTTCCTCCTGGAGGTAATCATTTCAAAATGAGTAACAATCCAGTGCCTTAATTGTTCAGTTGGCAGCAAAGTGTCACTGATGGATGTCAGCTAGACTTTAAGTGTTTTGCGTTGTCATATTTCACAACGCTTACAAAAAGCAATTATTATATGATGACATTTGAAATGTACTCAAATAGCCAGTTTGTTTGTTTGTTTGTAAATGCAAATGTTACCGTATAAGCTAATAGACTGATGTTTAGTAAGTACATCACAGCTTTTTACTTTTTTCTTGTGTTTGGTCAGAAAATGCAGAGGAATTTAGAAATGTAAAGTTGTGGGCTGTAAACACCCCCTATAGATACAGCATTTTCAAAACCCTGTGTACTTTATACTGCAGCTTTAAATTTTGGTTAGTAGTAATAGAATATGTAGCAACAAATGAGTTTCACATAATGTATATGTGGAGCAATTCAAGTATAGTCAGGGTCAATGAAACCTTCACTGACTAAACAGCTGTCCTAAATGTCTGCAGTTGAATAGATGATGCTACACATCTAGCTATTGTATAGGTGCTGCAGGACTGTACAGTCTGTCTGCACGTCTCTATATTAACAAGAAAAGCAATTCAAAGTGAGAACTGTTCTGGCTCAGAATGATATACTGAGGTGCACATCCCACACAAAGGGGCTTGAAGCAGCAGAGGAAGTGAAGCATTGTGTTTTAAATCTATTTGTCTGCTTCTCCCAGTGGGAAGTAAGTGCCAACTTTCCTTGGTAATGTGGTCTATCGCGCTGTGTGCGATTAGTACAGTGCCCAAGCTTTTTCTCAGGCTTACGCCACAGCTTGAATTTGAATGTGCATGTTACATTTCTCAGTCTCTAATCCTGTGTCATTAAAGTCTTACGTCTTGGAAAATTAATTTAAAAGACAAACAAAAGAGAAATAAACATTTTCAGACTGCTTATCGTTCAATGCAAAAAAGATCATAAATACATAAGTTATGTTGGTGTGGAAAGGAAAAGGCATTTACAGCAAAACCTGTAATCCCTAAATTACACTAAAATTGCTTTCAATCTCAAGCAGGGACAATAATGCGCAATGCAAGGTAAGCTATTCACAGAGAGTTTCCAGGAGAGGAACAAAACCTACCCATTGATCAGAATAAGCAGGAGCAAAGCGTGGCAGCTCTCTGTAATTAAGATGTCACCATTAATCCCTGCATATACTTGGCTATGAACTGACTATTTACATTGTGAGAAGGAAAATGTAGGTGTCAGGAAGCTCGAAAGGCAATTTACAGATGGCTCTCTGCCTACACACGCAAGCCTTTTTAGGTTCTTGACGCTCAGAAGCTCAGAAGGTCTGATATGATCAAATGAATTATTCATATATGACATTTTATACAGATTTTACTCTCAGCCCGTTGACTGTCTTTACAAGACACCACAGATGCCTTATTACCATTTGCAGCTCTGCTCACACATGCGTTCATTTGTTTAATTTATTAACTTAGCATGTGTCTACATAGGAGAAAGCTCATTGTGAGGAGAGGTAAGAAATTAAACTAGAGTCCAGTTAATTAAATGTGACTCTTCAATGGTGTATTGCTCTGTTTGTATGGAGCATGTTTTATGGCGTATACAGTCTAGAGAGTATTTGCAATGAAATCAATTCTACGAGTCACATGTGGCAGGACACACAGACAAGTTCCAACCAAGCTCTATTCTCTATGCATGGACGTTTCTGGCTAAAACCCTCTGCTGGTATTCATCATTTCAAAGAACCATTGCTTTTGAACTCCCAAAAGCTCACCGAGTCTGTTGTGATAGATTCACACAGCCGTATGAAAACACACATACAGTACATAGGCCCTTGAAAGAAGAGCTTATACCCTTTCTCCCAAAACTCCTCTTTCCATCAAATTCCCCAAAACACCATGGTGAAACATCCCGCAGGCTGTTCGTTTGATTATGACATTTTCCTTCGGTTTTTTTATTACCTTTTTGGCAATGGGGGAAGGTATAGTTTTATTTATATATGAACCTTACAAAGCCCTTGCTAAGAAAAAAGCAATAACTCAATTAACAAATAAAAAGTCAGTTGGGGGGTTAGGACATAATAGACACAGCAATGCTCACATGATTTAAAGGGAGTTAGCATCACAGTCCTGGGAATATGATTTGTTTTTTCAGGAAAAAAAAAAGTTACTGCAGCCACCAATGTTGTTATAACTGTGTCCATTAATGCCATTATTCAAACTTCATGCAGAAACCATTTATATTCTGCCAACAGAGAAAGCACCAAACAAATTAAATCAGTGAAATGAATATTCCTTCCTAATGTCAGTGCTTTCCAACTAAGTGGTTTTCTAAAGGGACACTTGAAATACTAGGATTAAATTGCACAGAATCAATGCATATGCCAAAAGTACACTTTTAAGTCTTAAAGAGGGAATATGCACATTTTTTGTACCTCTATATAGCCATGTTAGCATTAATAGCTGTTTACTCACCAATCTTGCAGAAAGGTTAATACATTTACTAAAGGGCTTTCTCTCGCATAAGAAAGCAACACTAGTTCTTTTGGTTTTGTTTCTATTTCCATTACTACCTGCTAACCAGCTAGGCCTAGCCTGGCCAACCAGTCTTGTCCCTTTTTGATTCTGAGGCGTACAGTTTGTGCTGAAGAAGACCCAGAGGGCATATAAAACCTCCAAATTGTAAATGCAGTGATGGATGAAGCCACCATCACCACAACAAAATCCAGGCTCGAAACCATGGTAACTTACAAATAACATCTTTACAATAAAAAAGGACATTTTTTAGCCAGAGACTGTACATCTTGGTATTTACATTTCAGGAAGAAATAAAAAGTCTCTATCTAGAAAGCTGCTCTGTGATAAGCTACAGAAATTGTTGGTCAAAGCAGCCCTACAGAGTCTGCTCCACTGAGACTTCTCATCAATCACTGGTCAGTCCTATTCCACTCCAATGGCAGCCTGATAAAGTAGTTTCAATGGACAGTCTAAAGCAGATTGAAATAAAGTCCTGACTTACCCTCGACAACAAAATTAGATGGGGCTGCTCTTGACAAGGTTTCGGCCTAATAGGTAATCTCAGAGACAATAGCTGAAGAAATGCACTGAGGGACTCCTCAGCAATCTAAACCTAGCCAATGGAGGAAGCCTAGAAATCCAACCAACAGGCTCGACAGGAAAGATGGGGGCTATGCTGCAGTCATACGATGCCAGCAGAATGGGATGGATGGTAGCCTAATGGGTTTTTATTTGCATTGTAATATGTGCTCCATTTGTTACAGTTCAGTCAAGAGCAAACCAGCCGTGCTTCAGGCTCAGTGAGGTTGTACTTTGGGACTCAGATACATTACAGCTAATGTCAGCATGCTAAGCTGCTCACAATGACAACACTTCAGCAGGATAATATTTAACATGTTAGCAGGCAAACATTTACTAATTAGAACAAAACATGAAACATGATTCCAGAGGGACAGTTGAGGATCACCAGCTCTTTTAAATTCATCCTCAGGGGAACATGAATATCCAAAACAAATGTTATGACCATATAGATGTCAAGATCACTGCAGGACAAGTCACCAAGGTCATCAAGATTCATCCTCTGGGGACCATGTCTGTCTGCATGGAAGTTCATGACAATGCATCCAAGAGTTACTTACTAAGGTGGTTATGTTTTCATTGCTTTTTGACTGTTTGTTTGTCTGTTAGCTTAACTTTGCTACTGAACCAATTTTCTTGAAAGTTGGTGGAAGATACAGTAGGGTAGAAAGGTAAGAAAGATCTCATTTATTTAGTTATTTTTATTTAAGTTTGGCACAGATCTGAGTAAAGAGACTGATCCGGGGAAATTGTTTACACTTTCTTGACATTGCATGATTTCTGACAGTTTCACAAATTTACCAGGCAATAATTCATGGACCTCTTGGCAGGGTAACGCCCTCTACGGAGTGCCTTTTTAAACATTTTAATCCGCACAAAAGAGGTGTACCAACTGACTGATCCACCATTACAATCCTATGAACCACACAGCTAATGTAGCTACAAGTAAATAACAACAACACAAAACGACAATACAGGAATCTAATTAGCTGAACTGAGTGCATCAGTAATGATTGAACAGATTATAAATTATTGCCCACAAGGGTAGCTTTGCAGCCTTTGAATGACACAAAATATGATTGGCAGAGACAAAGAAAGCAGGTGGATGAATCATGTAAATGGGGATGGTACTAACCAGGACACACTGCAATGTTGCAGAGTTTGGTCTGAATGTCGGGCCGTCCGCAAGCCGCGGCCTCGCCTCCGTTCACACACTTCCTGGTTCGTGTCCTGGAGCCCCGCCCACAGGTCACAGAGCACAGACTCCATGACGACCACTCGTCCCACAGCCCATGCACTGCAAACGCCCACAAACACGACACACACACACACACAACATGGGGATGAGGAATGAGGGAGGCAGACAGGTAGGTCGGATGGGAAGGGGGTGGAGCATCCCGTTGCAGGCATGAGGGTTAGAGAATGAGAGAAACATGAGAGATTAAATGAGTATAAGCACATTCCTTGAGAAAAAGACCATAAAGGAGTTGCCCTTTTGACCTCGACAAATCAATCCAGTTCCAGAAGGAAAAGAGACACTGAGAATGAAGCTGCGTTATGTTAACACATGAAAGAAAATGGAGGTTAGGAATGGACACTCTTGCATTTGAAGTCATGCGGCTCGAGTCATGACAAGGAAATGAATGTGGTAAGTTTGTTTCTGAAATGATTAGAGCTTTCAGTTATAATATACAGTGAACCAAAGGATCCAAGCACTCCATTGACTTCAAACACTAATTAAAGCATGAAAAAAATGTTCTCCTCTTCCGTCTGCCTCTCCCTAACACTTTCTTTCCTCTTTTCTTGCACATTAAATCCCATTTTAGCAGCACATGATGTTCAGATAAATCAAAATAGCACAAATGAGCATTGGAGTTTGAAGAAAAAGAAAACTTTTGCAGAAAATGAATGCGTGTTTTAGAGGGATTAGTTCTGTCAGCAACATGTCTCCTTTACCCATGTTTCTGCTATATGACAAGATAGACAGATTGTGCCTTGTACGAGAGGACACACACTTGTATACGCACAAAGATACTCGTGTGGTGTTGTCTGACTGGGAAAAAAAGGTAAAAGATTGTTACAGAAATGTTGAATGGAAAAGATAAAGAAATAACAAAATCGGTCGGTCAGTGATGTGAAGGGAGGGAATAAACACAGATAATCAGGACAAAAAATTGTGAGTCAATTTTGTAGAAAAAGCATAAGATTTCATAAAGTTTGGAAGATAGTGGAATGACAAACAAAGGTTGACGAAAAGAGGAGGTTATTTTGGAAGGTTCAGCGAGAGAACAGTGGAGATGAAGCTACGCTGACAGAAATTGAGGGAAGAGAGAGAAGAAAAATAGAAAGCAAGATATAGAGAAAAGGAAGAACAGAGGGAGGGTAGGAAAGCTAGAAACAGCAGGATGAAGATTGCTGGTGCTGTGTTGAGCAAAGCTAAATAAATCATGGCAATAAATAATTAAGTCTACGCTGTAAAGGAAGGCTCAGAGGAGTTGGAATAGAAGGGAGGCGAGGGAGGGAGAAAAGTATGGTTATATGGAGAGCTGGTAAATACTGAGATATCAACAGACCATGGGATCAATACGTCTTCAAGATGATGCACAAAGTGGCTGTATGTTGCAAGAACAGCAGAAAAGAATTAGGGTTGAATCAAGATAATGAGCTATTTTGTGTTGCTTTTTTTTTCTTTTATTAATGAAATGCTTTTTCAAGTGAGCGCATTTGTGGGTCTTACTCAACTGCAGCCGTTTGCACCAGCTCTGCTTATTAGGATCAAAATTCAAGTATCACAAAAGTGTCTTTTAAGTGGAAATTTACATTTCACTTAATTTAAACAGGGAAATTAGTTATCACAAAATATTAACAACTGCCAGATAGAGCAGAAACCAACTGAAACAGCTAATATTTGGCTAGGCTAATGTGGTAGATGTAGCAGAAAGGATACTTGATAAACATGGTGTCAAATACACATGTGTTACATACATTTCTATATAACATTGCTAATACATTATTAATTAATTAATTAATAATTATTAATTTCTCTAATGGTGCAGCCCCAAATTTGACATGTTATCCAGTAGAGGCTTAGAAGTGGACTATGGCACTAAATTGTTGGTACAACCCAATCCTGAACTTTCAATGTTTTTGAGGTTGACAATAATTTACAAATTTGTATAAGATTTGTGTGGCGTGTCATAACATAGCCAAACATAACCAATACCAATTAGATAAAGTCAAATTGATGAATTAATTGGATCAATGGTCTTTGCAATGGTTGGGAGTGTGAAACAGTATCTGAGAAAGGTGGTATTTTAATGCAGTTAATAACAGATGTGGTGAGTTGAAGCAGGAAGCAACTGAACAAAAAGATGACACCAAAAACACTGTCATTCTATACATTCTACTAAAGACCTTCAGTCCATCAATCTCCCCAGCACAACATCAAAATCACCTCTTTATTTGTCAACCCAAACAAGGTGGCAAGAAACCTGCGTGTCAGGTTTCATGAACATGTATCTTTTGGTCATTCCTCTTGCACAACAGAAAAACCAAGCAGTGCTTGACTCCAGCTCTTAGTCCAGGCCATGGTTATCTATACCTTCCACTGCAACACTCCCTCTGGTGCGACTCCCTGTATGGACACTGAAACCCAGCAGCTCATCTAGTCTTCAATCGGCTAAGAAGGTCACGTCACCCTGCTGCTCATCGACCTCCGCTGGCTAGTGGCTTCCTATGTCTGCATGAATCAAATCCAAGTCACTAATACATGCGGCACATACTTAAACAGAGCGAGACACAAGCAGACACTCCTGCAAACGGGAGATTTCTCCAACAGATTATGACGCAACATGGTGTTTTAACTTTGTGGTTGCAAAAGAAGCGATGCTACACTAATCCAGGAACGTGGACTTGAGTTCAGTGGATGATTGTAGAGAGAGGATCTGCGTTTGAGTGATTGGAGAAGAGCAGAATCACAGCAGACCGGTGACGGGGGGGGGAAATAGCCACGGTTGTTTTTTGAATGTTCAATATTTTATTAAGGAGTGTGTTGAAGTAAATGTGAGTTTTAGTTTTTTTTGCCGTGGTATTGTATTGAGTATGGAGATTCGTGGAAATGTCATGGTATCTGTATCGACTTCTAAATTTTTGGATTGTGACATCCCTATCTACTACTGTACAGAAGCTCAGTGTTATCCCTCAGTGATAATTCACTTCGGATAAAAACATCGACCATTTAAAGTACTTATGATGTTATATTTCCAAAATAAACTGAATCCAACTGACTAAATGGTAATAATAAAATATAACTGGCAGGCTCAAAGTGCAGGCAGATTTCTTGGGGGTACCTCATTCCAAATTACAAAACCTTCTCCAGAGATGGAGGCAAACAGATTCCACTATAATAAAATAACAGAGAGAAAATATACAGTTCAGTCAGAGTTCTGTTATTTAGTTGTTGTTTTTTACAATAACACTACAAAATTGCTTGTACGTCATTACTTATTTATCCAAATCGAATCTCCATCTCTCAAACTAAGTACAAGTCTATCTGAAGCCTGACTGCGCAGAGCCAATCAATTAGCCTATAAAATCAAGCTTGAGGCAGCTTTGGGACTAAGACACATTAAAAGAAAATATCAGTTCGAGATGGGAAAGAGGGAAGAGAACTGCAGGAGCAGATAAGCAAATTGATGAGGAAAAAACATGACAAACATATCTCCAGATAATGGAATTAGGGGTAGTACACCCTTGATTGGTGACAGAGGAATTTTGAGTCATAAACACAGCAGCACATAGTAATTATAGTAAATATATGGCCTATGTTGGCAACAACTGCATTTCCATAACACAACACCGCTTTTATATCAGCAGTGAACATTAAAGAAGGAGTTTATTGCCATCCAGGTTGCACTCACACAGGGAGGCAGAAAAGGGCATGTTTACAACAGCAAGAGCAGAAGAAAACTGATCAGCGCTAATCAAATAACTAAGTGACAGACCTGAGTCTCACGACACTCAGATACACGAACAAGTTCAGGAACTCCACATTTTCATCTTTGCGAGAAAAAAGAAATGTACAGGAAGGGAAGAACTTGAACTGACTTTCACCTGCCTGGGTTTATGAGGCAAATGCAAATAGGCACAGAAAAGGCAAGATACAATGTCAAATATACTTGAATGTAATCATGTATGCTGTGTGACACTGTCAGCTCTGAATTTCTGGTTTCGAGCTTAGAAAATGCACAACTCATAAATGCATGCATGCCTCACACTGATCATAAGCATTACCAATCTTTACGGGCAATTTCATGCAGTTGTAGCAAAGCATGGCTGCATTTTATAAAACTATGCATGAGTGTGTGTGTGTGTCATCTGCATGAGTCCGCAGTCTCTTGTGTGGTGTTGAAGCGTTTGACTACACACTGACCTGGACGTACCATATTCATAATGCACCATTGTTCCGCACCGTGTTTTAAATGTCACTGAATCCGTGGCAAATGAGCAGAAGATAAACAGAAGCAGGGGAGTAACTTAACTTTGCACGCTTTGGGGCATGAAAGCCTTCACATCATATTGTATGTGTAAAAAAAAAAGTTAATATGCCGGACCAATTACCGCCTTGTTTGCTTTGTCAAGAGCCAGACCATTACTTAAAATTGATTGTTTGCATCACCTTAATTTAGGAGTTTTAACCATGAAAAAATCCAGGAGGGGAAAAAAAAGAGTATTTTCACTTCATTGGTTTTCTGTCCAAGCTACTTTTCTGTGATGTTCCCTAACTCGCATGCAGACTCACACACAGCACACACAGGGGCATGCATGGAGAGATGCCCAGAGACATATCCACCCACTCTCACACTCATAACACAGCCATGCTTGTAAGTCTCAACATATTCACAAATATAAAATAAATAAAAACTACTCAGGCAAACCGGTCTACAGTACGAAACTAAGTATGCACACTGCACTCTTCCAACTTCAGGACACTCTGGGAAAAAATGTGCAAGTGTACGTTGACTAACATCTCACTTATACGATGCAGATATGCATTTCACACAGTCAAACCAGTGGCTCTTTAATACGAATATTTGACGATCCTATTGAACTGCCAGATTTTTGAGTGGGATTAGCTAAAATGTGTCATTGTGACAGTGACGTAAACTAGCCAAGTTATTCCTGTGAGCATATTAGCTATGCTAACGACTAATCATACATGTTTTTACCACTACTAACTATCAAAAGCTGTGATTTTGAGCTGTAGAAGCAGAAGGTAGAAGATTGTAAACAATATCTTGGTGCTTGCTTGATTGAGCCACCTCCCTCTCCTGACAGGACCACTTGAAATAGCGGAATTATTTTACCACAGAGAGTGTTGTGTAAGCGAGGAATGCTCATGCCGCAGCTACAGACCAAAATGTCTCCAGAAGAAGCTGCAAAATCTGATAAATTGAAAAAAAGTGTACGAAAAATAGATCTATATAAAATTTAAAAAGTCAATCACATTAAGTTCATTAAGTACTTTAATGTGTCTTTGCCACCACCCCCGCATCCCCTAGTCTAGTTGAATTTGGTGCGATCCCATTCAGGCGGTCCCCGGAGTGCCCCGACACCCCTCCAGAGCCACGTCAGAAAACATCAGAGGAGTGAGGCTGAAAAAAAGAAATAATAAACGGAACATAACACAGCAACCAATATCCCATCAAAGGAGCGGCTGAGGATATTAATATCAACACAGAATGGAAAATGAGGCACTTAGACATACAAATCGCGTTGGCACATTTGCATAAAAACAAGATTAGCATATGCACCGACAGGGAAGGAAAATGTTTCCTGTCGCTTCCCTTGTATTTTTTCCACTTTGTGTTTTTTTTTTGAGGGGGCGTCGGGATGCATCAGTAAACAAACTGCCTTTTCACTCAGATGCGAAGGGTTACATGTGCTAAAAATGTACATATATAATATACATTTTAAGCACACCCCAGACGCTCAGACAGAGGATGCTCACAATGCACACCATCATTGTGTGACACATTTATTTTGCTCACTTAAATTCTCAATAAATATGATTAACAATGCTGACAAAGGAAAAGAAAACTACATGCTGGTGGCATCAACAGACGTATACATAATGTACATGTGGGTAGAAAGACTCTGCACTTTGAGGATATGCATGAACACACACTGGGGGAACACACACTATATGTGGAATGGTTGAAAACATTCACACAGAACAGTTTGTTCTAGTTGGAATATGTATATCGTAACACTGGGACATATTTCTGGAGACAGGAGGGAAGTTTATTGCGCTCGACTTTATCAGAGTGCTCCACACGGTACCTCCGTGTTCCAGCTTCTTCAGACAAAAAGGGCTACACACCTGAACGTGTGTTACCTCAACAAAACCACTGACATTCCAACACAACTCCTCAAACTCCACAAACCAGCAGCATGCAGGCCGACTGGGCAGATTGGCTACGATCTACATATGTAGACACTCCTGTGCATCTCATTGACTGTGTGTATGAAAAAGACTTTAATAGTGTGGTTGGCTTTGCTAATGTGCATCTGGTTAACCACCTCCGATAGAGAGCAGCAAGTGGATGCTTCCACCGTGCTTTCCTCTGGGAGCTTCACACACCGGGCTTCATGAGGCCACGCTCTATGAATTTGATTTAGAATGCCTACATCCATTCAAATAACCAACAGGATTTATACCAGCGGATGCTACAGACATGAAAACAGCATTATGACATATCATAACCCAAGGGCCACTTTAGCCCTCTTCTTAGGGATAAGCCACTTTGTCAAGATCATACTCAAACCTTTGGATGTCTCCTGTTACAAAAGTCCCATATCCATCAATCTTAATGCAAACAGTTGACCTCATTCAGACCTGGTATTTCCATTTTGAGAGATTCAATCATAAGTGGTCGGCACTAGGTTCAGGTCTGTACGCACCCACATTTGCAATCGGATCAATCAAACCACACTGGGAGGTGCTTTTTTTTCCCCACTGTGTGGATGCAAATGCATCCCGGGCCACAAATGAAGGACCGCCCACTCAGCTGACGTCTCTGGCCGGCTACAGTTTAAAGGTATTTTCATGCTTCTCAGTGTCAAGAATAAAAACACTGACCAATACATTGTGACCGCCTGCTGTCGTTCTCTATCTCTCTCGCTTGCTCACACCGACACAAACACGCAAACATTATCATCAGACACATTTGTAAAGACTAGGTAAGACAACATTTGTTCGTCTGTTTGTCCCCTTGTAAAAATTTGTTTCTGGATTATTTTAATTGAAATCTTTAAGGCAAATAAAACACATTCATTTCTGCATACTCAATTAATGCAATTAATGTTTATTTATTAATTCGCAAAATACTTTTACCAATTTACCAGTGTAGCAGTGAATCTAAGAGAAGTGTTGTGACCACACGGGATTTCACTTTAATTGCAATCAGTAAAAACTGGTGTTCAAACCAGAAGCAGAACTTGTTCATTATTCAGGATGAGCCGTGCACAAGTTGCCGCAGTGACTTAAGCCAGACTGACTTTGTTGTTGAGAGTTGCTGAGGAAAAAAAAAAACCAGATGAGATGCTCTTCTCTTTCTTCTGCCTTTGTGTAGCAGGCAGATAGAGCTGAATACATCCACTCCAAATGGCAAAGCATGTGTGAATGTGAGACTTGAATTCGACCGGTTACATATATTTTAGGAGCTGCCATCGCATCTGACAAAAACCCTCTGAAATTGAAGTGTGGCTGTAGTTATCCTTCTAATTAGTATTTCATAATGTGATCACGTGAACACATATTTATACTGTAAATCCAAATACCTTCAGAGGAGGAATCTGCTAATTGCACTCTGTTGAATCAATATTTTATCAACACTATCCATACTGATGACACTGATGCAGAGAGAGGGACCCGATGGGGGAAATGAGAACAATGCTGAAAGAGAAGTGAAAAAGCTGAAGACAGAGAGGTCTGTTAGTCTGAACTTCTGAGCTGTGGCAGGTCTAATAGACTTGCTGACATGGAGCTCAGGTGTCATGTCGGTCTCTGTGCGTCTCTCTCCCGATATTCATTTCTCTCTCGGTCGGCCGGTAGAGTGAATTGAAATTGAAATGTTGTTCTTATTCTGAAAGGTTTTCTCATTTCTGCTTCACCATGGTTAGATTTCGTTTTTGCTTGAGCAGATCCCATGTGATATGAGTTGCTGTGTGTGGTGGTGTGTTCATGTGTGTGTGTGTGTGTGTGTGTGTGTACACCGCCTACCTTCTTGTTTCACACAGTCATTATTTTCTCCAGTTTGACAGATTATTTACAACACATTGTAAAGCAAACACGGGTGAGTGAGGTGCAAAGCAGGAAGCATGCGGCTTAAAGCTGTGCTTTGTTATATTTGATGTTCCCCAAGCAAAAACAACATTAGACCGAAAGAATATTCATGTGCCGCATATCTCCGTCCATGTTATGAAAAACACATATATTTGAGCAATACTCTGCAACAATGCTCAACTTTGTTTTTTTATTTTCTTAACATTGTCAAGTTGGGAACATATCCCAGCATGCACCTTTGTGAGCTAGGCACCCTGGAGGGGTAGGGAAACAAAAAACACAGCAAGTTCCTCCCCCTTGCTTCTCCCAGAGTAAACGGCATCATGCAAACTGCATGAAGATGGCGACTGAACTTTCCTCGTACTCGCTGTGAGAGTAAACAACTCACTGGTGAGAACCACCGTGATGTCAACTGTTGTTTTGAAGCTGTGAGTTTAACATTCTGTCCAGTGCCATCTTGGTTGTTTGAAGTAACCATTTTTGGAGTGAGAGGTGAGCCTGAGGACGGTAAACACCCACCTAGCTGTCAATCACACATAATCCACAGCATCCATTCTACTCTAAATTTGAAACTAGTGATTGAGACATTACGTCTGCATGAAAATGTTTACTGACGTAATAAATCAAGTGAGAAGTCCAATCATTTCTCAATTTTCAGGCACGTCTGATTTTGGCTTCATTTTCCAGAATCTACATCCAATTGTTTATCCAGTCTTTGGTCAACATACCTGTGCCTGTGATCCCAGGGTCACCCGGGCAGGAAGCCGTGTTATTGCACATGCGTGTTTCCCTCAGGGCGCCGCTGCACAGCGTCCCGTAGGGCGAAGAAACGCACGAGCGCGTCCTCACTTGCCAGCCTTGCCCACATGTGAGGGAACACACACTCCACTGTGACCACTCCTCTGCTGCAGGGTCACCTGGTGTAAGAAGAGAAGATCATTATCCATATTCTCAGTGGCTGCTCTTGTATTGGGTGCTAATGTTCGGAGCAGAGAAGGTCAAGGGAAATGGCACTTTTAGTTATTTGAACGTGATCTAAACTCTATGGATGATGGCTCAGGACAGAATATGGATTATTTTATATGATATTCTGCTGTGTATATAGTTGTTATAAATATATTTCTGTAAAAAAGAGGTGTTTGTCTTTTCTACGACATTTTTAGTTCAGATTTTTTCCCACAACCAAAAGCAGCAAAACAAATTTGCTTTATTAATTTCTGTTGGAAATCCTCAGAATGTCCCCAGATCTTTAGAGAAATTATTCGATTGGCAGCAGCACCACTGAAATATCACACCAATAAAAAAAGACAAACAAAAGCATAATCTATTAAGAATGTGACAGTTGAGGAAAAGGCTTTGTGTACAGAGCTTTCGTACTTATGTTTTTTTTTTTAACCTGGACGAGAGATTTTGAGGCCGGTTAAGATTCCAGATTGATCCTAAGGGAGATGTAGGAGAACGCTGCTTGTGTAACTCTGTGTCATTTTCTGGCTCGAAGCTGTAGCCTGATATGTGATGTTACCGCACATGGTATGAATATGCACGATAAGTGATTCGCAATATTTAAGCCCTATAATGCAAATTAATCTTGACTGAATATTCATGAGGATGATGACCCTGTTAGAGACGTGTTTTGAGGTGATACTTGTTGAATTATGGTAACATGTGTGATCTCACTGCTGAAGGGCTTTAGCCCTAAAAGCCTGCATGTGTGTGTGTGTGTGTTCTGTGAGTCTGTGTCGTTGTGTATGGAAGGAGCCATACAAGAATTAGTGTTCAGACATGAGTGATTTTCTGTGTTCTCCAGGCAGCGTGTTGAGACTGCCCTGTTGTTCCCTCAGTGTTACAATTCTGAAAAGCCAAAATTACGAGCTGAATCACTCCGCTTCTATCCCCCTAAATTGTTTATGAGCGCCATGTCCTTTGATGGAGGAGTCATCACATGGCAAAGAAGGAAATCTAATTAATTGCATGTCCGTTAATCGCATTACATCTTCATTAACATGCCGTGAGTCAGGGGCTTAAGCTCATCATACATGCCTGGAGGAACGGGAGAGCAGGGGAGAGGCAAGGAGGAAGGAGGGGGGAGAACAGAGGAGAAGGACAAGACAGAGCCAGGGGTTTCCCTCGCGGTCGGGACTCCCTCCTCCGCACAGCAGTACCGGGGAGCATTAAGAAGCGGTGCATGTATATGTGAGGGATCTGAAATTAGTATACGACTTATTCTGCTGAGGCTGGAGCCGGCAACATGTATGTATAAGGCAGATTTGTCTGCATATAGAAATGTCAGCGCCATGAATAAATATTTATTTTCCAATACTATAATTATGTATGATTTTGAAATCCGGGGGTTCTACAGTGCCTCAGAAATGAAATGTATAATAATTACCTCCAACAAGGAGGTTGTCTTTTCACTGGCGTTTGTTTGTTTGTGTGTTTGCAGTTAGCAGGATTATGAAAAACTGCTTGATGCTTTAAAGTTACAGTGTGTAGAATTGTGATATCTAGTGTTGAAATTTCATGTTGCAGCTGAACATCCCTCACCTCACCCTCTCCTTCCAAACATGAAAAAGAAACTGTGGCAGCCTTCAATTGTCATAAAAACTCAAAGGGTGTTTAGTTTGTGCAGTCTGGACTAATGTAAAAAACACGGCGGCCAACGTAGAGAGGGTCCCCCCCATGTAAATATAAAGTATTTGAATATAAAGAGCCTTTTCATACAATTTAGATGAAATGAACTAGTGAAAACATCATTATTTGACATTAAATAGATCCCTTTCACCTAAATCTTACACACTGGAGCTTTAACAACAAACTTGGTGACAGGATGTGGTATGAGTCAGGAATGAACCCATTCAATTTTCATCCGGATCCACATCAGGAGGTTGATTAGACCATGCTCTTGAATAAATATATATAAATCAAAAACATGTTTTTGACGATTTTAATTGGTTTCTCATGGATCGTGATGGAAAAAAAATATCTGACATGTTTTAGGAGACTGATATTTATGAGTGTGGGTAATTTGGTGCAGATCCAAATATGAATCTGTTTCTAGTGTATTTAAATGTGATTTCATACGGGGCTGGCTGGGCCTTGGCAGAGGTATGAACTCTCATGAGTCTAGTTATTTGTATGAAATTCCGTATTTTAGCTGAATATTCACCCTGTGCAGGTCTAGCTGGAAGCTACTCTCCCACACACAACTCACCTGTTTGTGCCTGAAACACACCTGGCTGGTCGGCTGATCGTGGCCTCTGTGTCTTCACCTTTAGATCATCATCATACGGATCTGAAATAGACAAAATATAAACTTAAATTACTCTTTTCACATATAGGTTGCATTGCAGTATATTTAATTTAGGTGTTGGAAGTCATTACTGGCGTAAAAAGATGCCTGGTTTGTTTGTTGCGTGTTATTGTGACAGCCTACAGAAACGTGGTTTTGAAGCTTTGGTAAATAAGTGATAGCACATCCAAAACACGACTCTGGCAAAATAAAAATACAAACGCCTACAGTTCCTTGGCTTGATTCATTTTGCAGAATATTTAAAGAAACATGCTGCTGCACTTCAGCACACGTCGCGCAGGAACAGATAACAGAGTGTCAGGGCTGCAGAATCATCTCGGAGAATCTGAGGGAACTCATCCCTGACTGGCTCATTAGCTCAGAGGGAGAACATGGTCTGTAAAACGGTGTGAAAATATACAGATTGAAATTCAGTGGGAGAGTGTTCACAGGGCTGTGCATAGGTAAGCAGAAGTTTCAAGAAACCGTCCATATCTCTATATATATAACATGCAGCGACACTGGAAGAAAGCCTGTGTTAGAGAACTCATTTGAATTCCAACATCTCATGCACTGTAAATGGTGAACATCTGTGGGAAAGTGAAATCATGCAACATCTCCAAGTTGTTTTTTTATCTCATTTAGTGCAAACATACAGAGGCACGATGCTCTGTGCAAATGCATTTTCAGGCTTAGTTTCAGCAACACAAGACTTAATCAACTCCCTCGGCAGGGGAAGCAATCTTTGATTTAGCTGCTGTTTTTTCCCTTGGGTACCTCTCGCCCATGGGATTTTATTGTCTTGTGGTGGTTGCATTAACGCAAAGGAAGATAAACAGTGTATCTTACATCCCGCATGCTATCTACAGAGGATGTGACACACAAACACACACATACAACCATGAATGTCTGTGTGCCGAGGCTCTGTCGTGATCGCTCAAACACCCGTTTACAACCAGCACTCTTATTTTGCCTTTCCTTGACTCTCCCTCCTACCTCCTTCTCGTGTGTGTTCCTTTGAGCAGGGACACTTGTGCTGGAAGGCCTAAGTATGATATTTTACCCCATCAACGATTTAATCATTTGTTTTCTTGGGTGTCTAAACTCAGCTGGTTGCCGCCCTGGATTTAAAAATAAAAAAGCAGCTGGACTTGCTTGAGGTTATTGTGGATTTTTCTCGTCTCATCTCAAGACTTCTTTAGTGGAAAATAAAAACTTCTTTAAGATCCTCAAACAAGCCTTTCTTATGTGACTTAAGAAACAATGTGTGTGTGCGTGTGGGTGGCTCGTCTCATTTTGTTTTACAACGAAAGTAGGCAAAAGTGTTCTGAAGGTATTTTAGAAGATGTTGATTTGCTCCATGGCTTCATTTCCCAGAAAACAAAGAAAAGAAAAAAGAATAGTGCTGCATCTGATGTGACAATCAAACCAACAGTAGAGATGCAACAGCCCTGGGGCTCGAGCAAGATCTCATTATTTAGCCACGTTCGTGCACAGAAGAAACATGTTTTAAAATAAATCTTAAAAACATGGAATCATGCACCAGCATATACACCAGCTCCAGCGTTTGACTCGTGCCTGCTCATGCTCAAATTCAACAAGATGTTAAGTTTTTGAGTTCAACACTTCTTCTTTTAAGATTTCAAAACAAATGCACTGATTTATTTTCAGCGAGTGACTGAATAAGTGCTGGTCCCAATCCGGGAGATTCTGAATCATCTTCTGGCAGAAGCTGGCACAAATTAAGCCGTGTGTGGGTGTATATCCTACGCTGCTGCGCTACTGAGACACAGAGGTCAGTGAAGCAGGACAGACGAGTAATGTCTCACATAAAATGACCAGTGAGGGCTTCTTTTCTCCTTTCTCTTTATTTCTCTCTCTCCCTTCCTTTTACAGTGTTTGTCCCTCTTCCTTGCTCTCTTGTTCTATTAGGTCTATGGCACAGAGGAGGATTTAGATGAACACCGCTGCAGAGTCCGGCACAATCAAAAGTAAAGATCAATATGGATAAACCCCCCGAGAGTGCTGACCTTTAGAAACCCCGCTATATTGTTTAATGTTCTGGACTGCGCTTTAATGGACACATCATCACACACTTCATCAAATCGTCTTGCTCGCTCTTCTTCTTCCCTCTGTGTTTTTTCCACCTGTTATTTCATCTCTGGGGGAATTTTCCATCTATATCTGGCAGTATCACTTCCAATCGCTGGCCAGGGTTGATAGTCCTGCGATTGGTCCGGAGCAGAGGTGGAGATACTTACAGACGCTTGAGTGAAGTGAGTGATCTGTCAGCGTAGTTAAATTATGTCTCATAATCTAATCCCTGACAAATGGAGAGGAGTCCTCAGGGGACGGTGTCAGTCTGTTGTGAGGACGTTTGAATCGACAGACGGTGGGGTGTGCTGAAAGCAGCTTGTGTGAATCCATCTTTATTCAGCTGACTCGACGCTGAAAGAACTGAGTTTTAACCGAGGAACCTCTTGTCGCTGGTTTTCAACAGGTTTCATCCGTCTGTCAATCTCAAAAAGAAAATATTTTTAGCGTCTAGGTGCATCTTGCAGTTGAGTTCATCCACCTCGAGACCAGCTGTGTACAAAGTTGCACTGTGATATTTTAGGTTCACGGTTATCAGTGAAGAGTTTACTGTAATGGACAAGTGGTGTGCTGAGAGTGATTACAAGGTTATTGGTGTCAGTTCCCACAGAGATCTTCTTTCAGTTCAAGAGCAAAGAGTGAAACATGACTGTTAAGTGCAGTTACTTTAATTTCCATGGTGTAAATAAACAGTTAGCTCAGTCTCCGTGAGGTCCATCATTTCAGCTTCCCATGACCATGATTTGTGTGAGATAGCGTAGAGGTCAGTGTACTGTGCGATCATAAAATGTCAGTGAAGCCAGGGGAAGTGCACATAAAGTCATAATCTGTGACATTTTCATTTAAAAGAAAGGTCTTTCTGTGTTGTTTCCTGATGCCAAATTACATCCAATGAAAAAGTGAAATGACGCCACGAGGCATTTCAGCTGGTTAATTTTATGAAGGAAAAAGAACCCAGCAGCATCATAGCTCTGCAGAGTGTTTTTTTCTGGGTATTCTTGGGAAACCATTTGATTTGCTTGCCGAGTCGGAACCCAGCTGCTGCGGATGAGCAACGGCATCTCAACCAGCCTCGTCCACTTTTTCATTCAAGGCAAGTATCACTCTGAAGGCAGGGATGTTTTTCTCAGCTTCCTCAACTCAGTGTGAGGAACATCAGGCTACTCACAATGAACACACACACAAACACACACACACACACACACACAGACACACACTAAAGGTTGCAGGCATGCACACAACACACAAAACATCTACATACACAAAGAGCAATGACTCCAAAGCTCAAATATACCTTGATGTGGCATACACACATACACATACACACACACATGCTCACACACACACACACACACACACATGCACACCAACACAATAGGGAGTAAATATGGCAGATAAATAAACGTCATGCAGTAAAGCGGTTTTGAAACCCAACAAAGCAGGAGGCTGGGGAAGGGGATTGTGGCAGAGCCAGTTAGAGCCACAGGCTCCTTTGTCAGACTGAGCCGGGATTTAAGCCTGCTGGGAAGACTGCATGAATATGTGTGGTGTGTGTATGTGTGTGTGGCTGTGGGAGAGCACAGGATAATATGGCAAAACAGCTGTGGTAAGTAAATGGCATGCACAAAAAAACATATTGGCACGGAAATGTTGGCTGTTGACTAATGTCACCTCTCAGTGCAGTGTACATGATTGAATGCACAACCTCCCTACTAAACACACACACACGCACACACACACGCACACACACACAGAGAGAGAGAGAGAGCTATTTCTCAGCCGTATATCAAATCTGAGCTTATAGCTCTCTGGTGCTGTCCATTTACTCCAGGGTCCATCGGGGAGAGTCCAAACTGATAGAAGTGCACCATAATGGACTTTTTATAAGCTACTGGACGGACAGACCCACTCCATCTCTCCCTCTTTCACCTTTCTCTCTCTCTCCCAGCAGCAGATATGAGGAGGAAGGCTGAATCAGGTTGGTGTTAGACAGAGTCGGTCTGATGACGGGGACCTCACGGTCATTTGTGTGCCTTCAAAATGGGTTTGAAATCTAGTTTTCTAAGTCCCACAGGCTGACAGTTGTTTTTGTTTCACACCTACACACACACAAACACACACACACACACACACACACATAAATACGCACACAGTTCAACACAAACCCTGCTATATACTTCCAAACTGCCAAATTGGCTTTGTTTCATTTCACTTTCATTCTCAATCTCAAATTGCCCTTTTTCCCCCATTTTTCTTTCTCTTATTAGATATTTTCAAATCTTCCAACTCCCACACCGCAGTCGTTCGGTCTATCATCCTGCCCTCCACCCCCTCACCCGCTGCCTTTCTCTCAGCTCTGTAACAAGATGAGAATTCAGATGGATTTACAGTCCAGCAGAGCTACACAATCAAAGAGCAATCAATGCAAGGATGGCCAGAACAATTCAGCAGTTCATTCGAAGTAGGGTAAGCAAGATTACAGCACTGCACTGGCCTGATCAATTACACACAATTACACCCATGGTTTAGCATGTTTGTGGGGGAACCTTTTTGTGAAGTGAGTTTACAACAGGCTGGTTTAGCGTCAATCATGGACGTTAAATGGATGAATGTGAAATAAGCTGGAGTTCCTGGTGAACTTGTTGGTGCACTTTGTATCCCAGCCTCACTCTGACACATGGTCATGGCCGCTGAGTGAAAACCTTGAGTCCACATTAAAACATCTCATTATCTGATTGCATAACGAGGAACTGTCCCCAATGTAAACAAATGAAATAATTAAACTCCATTAGACAAGAAATCAGCGGCAATCGCAGATACCGTTAAACAAGAGTAATTGTCTACAGACAAGCTAATGGCTTCATGAGGCTGTACGGTACTTAACAACTCTGCTTTTACGCTAGCATCAG